GAAAATTTCTACATAAATAATATTCTTTATATAAATTATAAATTTACATTATATATTATATTAATATATATTTATATATATAATTTTTTACATATATAAAGATGTATGCACAATTGTATATAAAATATATAATTAAAATAATATAAAATGATATATTTCATATATAATTCCCTACAAAAGAATTTTAATTATAATTAATTATATTTGTATAATTATATATGTATATAAGTATATTTGTATAAATATATATTTATTATAAATATAAAATTATATGTATAAAATTTATACATATATTTGCATATAACTTTTCTTTAATTTTAAAAGTTACACATGTTTTTCAAATTAAAAAAGTGCAGTGTTTTCTAAAACACTGAAAGCGCAAAAAGTGAGAACAAAAAATTGAAGTATACGAAAGAAGTAAAATATATACGAAAGTTATAATATGACATAAAGAATTTTAGGATATTGATAATATATAAAATTTAGGATATTGATAATATATAAAAAAATGAAATATGTATATGCACGAAAAGAAAATGTTATATATGGATAGTTTTATATCGCAAAGCATGTATCATTCGAGCTTCAAGAGAGGCAATATGACCTGCAGAGGCAAATGATCGATGATTTCACCGCTAGTTTCATATACACATATATTTCCAACTTAAAGTCGACTTATTTGAGGTTATTACTCGTAAGTTTCGCTTTCTATGTAAACCGCAGGTACTGTAATGCGCGCAATATCCACGAGATCCATCTCACTCTCTTCAACCCTCTAGTTTGAGAAATAGCTGCAATTATTCAAATCGCACATAGTAGTGCGACAGTCACATAGACGGTCACAAAAAGAAACAAAATTAAACCGATACAATTTCTACAGATAGAGTGAAAGCGATTGGTTTTTATTGGAATTTCTTTAATTGGATATTCTTTTTGTATTTCCGCCAATGGGGAATGTTAATGATGAAAACAACTTATCAGAGAGTTCATATAGCTTATGTTACGACCGTTTAAATGTTCTCATCGTTGTTAGGAAAAGTTACAAATATAATTGATACATATTACCTTGCTTCGCAAAAATGCCATTGTAATTTAACATTCATTAATTTTTGGACACAAATTCTTTATTCTCAGGAATATCGGCAATAAATGAATTATAAAACAGTAAATAAAAAATGTAATAATATAGTAATATAATAAATTTAAATAAAAGTAAATATAAATAAATATAAATATAAATAAAATAATATAATAAAATATAATAATATAATAATATAATATAATATAATAATATAATAATAATAAATAATTAGTAATAATAATGAAATTTAATATACCAAAGATATTAATTATTTTAAATGACGTAAAATATTTAATAGAGTTTGTATTACTTGTGTACATGTTCCATTAGAGTTTTATATCATTTTAGTTGCGTAAAATTATTATCGTACAGCGGAATTTATTAGAGAGAGAATTTCCAGTTTTACCTGTAAATTTAGAAATTATGCGTGTTATTTAATAATAATTTAATAATTTTATTCACTTGTTTGTGCCAAAAATTTAAATATATCCTTTTTAGATCCCATAGCTGTAACATTAGCATGACATCAACGACTAACTAATCGCTTTGCAAAGAAAAAGTTTAAAGTTTAAAGAAGAAAATTGCATTTCAAGTTTCAATTCAGCGATATAACGTAAGACAGCAAACCGGTTGGAGGTGCACTTTCTTCGATACGTCTCTAACGTTGGCCATGATCATCTCACTTTCGAGGTCAATGTCTAGGCCCGATGCGTACGCCCGTGATATGACTAGCTCTTTTTGCATTGGCGCAACTTTCTTTGATCAAAGTACAAATGTCAATCGTGCAACTGACATTTCAACGCGTGTAAATTTTTTTATTTCTCATCTTAACAAATATTTACTCGAATATAACGCGTTTATTGAAAAATGTTGGTTTCATTAAATTTTCCAATAATTTGCTAATTTTTTAGGATTCAAGGTAGAATTAAAAATTGTTTACAGAGAAGTAAGGATATTAAGTATATGATTCAATTAATCTTTTATTTTTTCAATTATATAAAATATATTTTTTTCATATAGTATTCCTCTTTTTGTATCTTGTTGATGTCTTACAAATTGCATACTCTATTCAATTTAAAAATTTGTTTAAAAAAATTTTTTTAAATTTATATCTATGTGATTTATAAATATATATAAATCTATATAGTATTTTAATTTTCATATTATATTTTACTATTGATGTCCTAGATATCACGTGTTGTTTTTGAAATTATAGAAAATTTATATATATATATAATATTAATGATATATAAATTTATATATAATTTTATATAAATTTATATATAATTTCATATATTATTTTATATTTATAATGTAAATATATTTAATTATTTATTATAAAATATGATATGAAGCGATATCAAATATTCTAATTATTATTTATTTTCCGATTACTTTTATTGCAATAAAAAGGCGATATTTATACGAGACAATAAACAAAAATATAATTACGGATTTAATATAAGTAGATATCGAGAGAATATAATGGAGCGATAAAATCTACGATCGTAAAAGCATAATATTATAAGCTCATAATATGAGATCGAGATTTTGCATTCTTCTCTTGCGATCGCAATGATTTCTCCGCCGCAACGTATCCAGTGGATCTAGCAAAGAAAGAAGTAGCGAAAGTAACATTTAACTCGGAGATAGGGTCGATACAGAAAATGTCACAGACTTTACAGTGGTATTACAGACTTTACAGTGGTGTAATATTTGCACCAAGCGACTTTGTAGAATTCCTTCGATGAAAGTGCACGTATTCGATATGACAGTCGGCTTTCTTCAAATTGTAAAAAAAAATTCTACATTTTAAAACACTATTTGATATCATTTGACTTTAAAATATATTGTATTATATAATAAATAACTAAATTTATTTACATTATACAATTTATAAATATTATATTAAAAATATTATATATCAATATATTATATTATATATTATCAATATATTATATATTAATATTAAATTTAATATATAAAATCATATATAATCATATATAAAATTTAGATATATATTTTTTTCTTTAATTTTAAAGATGTTTTTTCATAAGTTTTTAAATTTAAAAAAAAGTGCAATTTGTAAGATATCGATAACATACGAAAAATGAAAATATAAATAAATAATTTTATTTTATATAATAAATAACATTTTATATTTATAAAATCACACTCATGTATCTTTTTTTTCGCGTTAACTTTGTCGAATCGCGGTCATGATGCATGGGTGGACATAAGTCGCTTTAATCTAGCTGAATTGCCTGAGTATTGTGATGCTTTCTACTGTCACATGTCATATGACTAAGTACGCGTTTGACCGCGTTTGAATATTTCGTGTCGTCTCATTAAATGTCGTCAAATGACAACGGCAGTTCAGGCTTTACGCGCTCTCAAACAGGATTTTAAATAAGAAAATTGTTTATGCGAATTATCGAAAGTGCGCGACCTCAATCGAGTACGATTCATAATTTCCTTGTTCAAAATCGTCGATCATTCACGACACGAAATACGCGTATTACAAACGATTACTAATTGAGTATCGATCGTTATATATTTGTTGTATTTTATTCGCATAGTTTACATTTTAAATATATACATGATGACACGAATAAAATTCTATTTTATTTAAATATTCTGGAAATGCATTGTCGAATGGGGCAAATCTACAGCTTACACTCGTGAGTCGATGACCGAGATATTAAAAGTAAGACGCATGAACAAATGACGAAAGGAGCTACAAGTTGGTCGATAGAGCGTAAACTACAGACGACGAGCCATTCGCGGATAAGTGACAAGTGACAGGTGTGTACGTACAATCTTTATATGCAATTACGGTTGAATAACCGCGTGAAAATTTTCATGTCAAAATTCAATTAACATTCAAATTGAACGCGAATTTAATTAACATACGAGATGCGATGCGGGCCTGTATAATGTAACGAAAGAATCATGCGTTTTCGTTAATTTCGTGTAAGCTCTCTACAGAATTACAAATGAATAATAATTTGCCTTGAATATCAGTGACAGTTTTTTGAAAGGGTTAAAATATAAATCTGGCTCTCCCAGTAATTTGCCCCGTAATTTGTCAATCATCCTTGCACAATTAAATATTTTATCAGAACTCTGTGCAAAGATATAAATCAATACTTTTTCTCTAAATTTTTTGTAACACAATTTATACATATTAAACACAATCTTTTTTTTGATACGCTATTAAAAATAAAAGATATGCTATATTATATATATTTTATTGTTTAAAATAATCAAAAAATCAAATTCTTCAGATAACATTTAATAGATAATTGACATTTTCAGAGAAAAAAATTTTTATACAATTTTAACTTCTAATAAATTTTGTACTAGTATAACGTTCGAATTTTTTATCGTTACTATTTTATTCAATTTAAGAAATATCGCTTTTTAATGTGACTAATTTTACACGAAATCTTTGTAACATAATGTCTACTTTGTTGGGTCTACTCCTTGAAGGAGCATAAAAAATATGGAATTCTAGAGATTTCTTTTGTATTTGAAAAAGTCGAGAAATTTACACTAGAATTATATTAGAAATTTACAAGGAAATTTTAAGAAAGTTTCTCTCTTTAATCATTTTTCTCTTTTTCTATTTTTCCTTTGTATTATTTTTCCTTTGAAACAAGCATTAGAAAACAGTTAAAAAAATATAATAAAAAATCTTATTTTAGAAAATTGCATGAGAAGATTTCAAAAATATTCTTTTTACCTAGAATGTTGAATAAAAATACCTAAAAATATTAGAGAATTTTCAGAATATATTTTATAGGATATATGATTAGACATTCTATGCAATCGTACGATAATTAACATATCTCTCGTATATTAATAAATTCTCAACGAATATTACACGGATAAGAAACCGGTCTCGCGAATCTCTTACCCAGGTATCGTTGCTCTCCGCTGATTTCTCCGACGAGTGATCCACGAGTAAGTAATCCGAAGGTCGATCACGCGCGACCCTCTGTTTCAAAGCGATAATTTTTGACGAGGATGTACTCGCTGCAATTGCAACATACGAGAATCTCCTGATAATTCGCGATTCTCTCATTCGAAAAGTTCCATAATTACGGAACACAAGCTCGCCGTCGGTCTTGAACGATCCCAGGTGTAGCCCGACGTTGCTCAACGTTCACCGTCATCCATCGTCAATCATCACTCGCGGACCTCGACCGACAATGACCCTCGATAAACTTGCGGAATCGAGAGTAACACGACACACGTGTATCGTTTTGTAACAATTAGCTTTCACACTCGCGACATCGCGCTTCTCGTCGAAAAAAACAGGATGGAGCGATGCTCTACTCCTGGCTTTTCCTCCGATCACCGAGGGTGCAGGCGCCGGCTCGCCGCCATCATAGAAATCAATACAACCCTTAAGGGGAGCTTACACTCTGTGTGTTTGTGTATATATATAATATGTGATTTCAGGACAATTTGTTGCGTTGGATGGAGAATCAGTTGGATACGCGAAAAAGATTCATATCCTGTGTAATTTTGGCGTCTTTTCTTTCAATCATCGAATAAATATGTACACTGAGAAAAATCGTTTGACCAACAAGACATATCTGATAGAAGGTATTTGGTTAAACCAAATAGAAGGATTTGGCTAGTATTTTCTAGTTGACTCTATAAAACTTCTTGTTTATCTAAACATTACCTAAACATGGACACAGTGATGCCATTTTTGTAAGTTTAGTATTATTATCAAGAAAATTTGATAAATTTAACAGGAAGAAATTAATCATACTCATCTGGTAATTCCTAAAAGAATTCTGATTCGTTTTCCAACAGACATACTTGTTGAATCTACCAAATTTCTAATTAATATAACCAGATTTTTTTCTCAGTGTAAGGATCACTTTCGATTACGTCAAAAATTGAATTTGAGATTATGTATATCGTTTTCGATCGACTGTGAATTATGTAAACTCAGTTATGGATCATGTAATTCTTAGTAATTGTCCGATCCGTCAATCTTTTTTTACTTTTTAACTTTACAAAACTCATGTCAAGATCTGCTTTAATCTTGAATTAAATCTCAATCCTTTCTCATGAGATAAATCAGGTGTTAAAATTCTTTGAACGTTGAGTAACGAGGACGATGATTGAAGAAAATGTGAATATGACAGCTTTCTATGCGATTTGTTCCTTTTACCTAGTATTCTAGGTGTTTTACTATTTGTCGATCCATCTAAGCGACACGACATTTTTCCGATGATAATAGTAATCGATATCTTTGGAACCGAACATATACTGATCGAGAAAGTTATTTTCCGATATTTTAATAGCGATGGTTCAATCTCTCCGACCTCAACATTTTCTTCTGCTTTTTCTCGATTCCCAATCCGATATTTATTTTGATACTTTAAAGTCATCCTCTTTTAAAACTGTATTTAATCTGTAATTTTTGCCAAAAGTTTCTCTTTTAAATCTCAAAGTGTGGGAAAACTATTCGTTTACTGCTTACTTAAGATTTATTAAGATATAAAATATAAGAGCTCAATGTCTAAATAAGTAAATCTAAAAATACAAATGTTAGAAAATTGAGGCAAAAAATAGAAACAAAATTTTGAATAGCGAGAAATGAATAAAAGAACCAAATTATTCAAGTCAAGGAATTTGACCAATTTCACATTTCCACTTGAAAAAAAACAAATATGAAAACGCTAGCAAATTTCAATGAATTTATATGTTGTCATGTCTGAAATATATTGCACTAAGAACAAAAATCTGGTTGCATTAATTAGAAATCTGGTAGATTCAATCAATATGTCTGTTGGAAAATAAATGAATCAGAATTCCTTTAAGAATTACCAGATGAATATGATTAACTCCTTCTTACTAAATTTATCAAATTTTCTTATTAATAATACTAAATTTTACTTTAAATTTTACACTTTAAAAAATGGCGTTACTGTGTCTATGTTTAGTTAATATAACAAGAAGTTTTAGAAATCCAACTAGAAAATACTAACCAAATCTTTGTAGTAAAATCAATTAAACGTTCTAGTTAGAAAAAATCTTATTGTGATAACTAGAAATTCTGCTTGATTTAACCAAAATGCTTTCTATCAGATACGTCTTGTTGATTCAATCAAACGACTTTTCTCAATGTGTGTGTGTAGGAAAACTATCCGTTTAGTTATTTAAAATATAAAATATAAGAGCTCAATAAATAAATAAATAAATCTAAAAATATAAATGTTAGAAACTTGAGGCCAAAAATAGAAACAAAATTTTGAATGGAGGGAATTATATGAAAAAACCAAATTATTCAAGTCAAGGGATTCGATCAATTTCACATTTCCACTTGAAAAGAAACAAATATAAAAATGCTAACAAATTTAATTAATTTATATGTTGTCATGTCTGAAATATATCGGGATTCAATAATAGTGTACTTCTCGCGCATCAGTAAACACGTAAAAATGTTAGATTCTTTTTGACAGATGACTCTTTACTTCTGTAACAAGAAAGTCCGGGACTGCCCCCATCTGGAGAAATATTCATAAGTTATTTACACCGATGCAAGCTGAGGAAAAATCGTCTCCAAATAATCCCAGGAATCTGTCTTTGAAAGATTGATTATGAGTTTTGGGACACTCTGTTCAATAAATAATTTATCTCGAAAAAATACAAAGAAATGTGTAAAAAACAAAGATAATTATACATTATATTTATTATCTTATTTTCGAAGATAATTGAAAAAAATTACTCTTATAAAAAACAAGTCGATATATAAATGTAAATAAAAACGTTACATCTTTTCGATGGAGACATCTTTCGCAATATTTCTTTTCTTACCTTTCTTTCCGTACATAAATTATCTCCAAATGAAAAGACCAAAAAAATACCTTCTCTTTCATTTACATATTGTACACAATTTCGTTTTTCTCGGTTAAAAATATTGAACAATATGAGATGCTAAATCGACCCCCTACGAATTTTGAAGAAAGGAAGAATTTCTTCCCTTTTCCACATCCTTGGAAAAAAAAAGACATAAAGAGGAAAAACCTAAGGTATTCCATCGAGGCCGACAATTCAGGTCGGGTTTTAGACACGCGACGTGACGCCTAAATGAACGGTACCGTTACTCAGGATGTGAGCAAAAGGAAAGGGAAGAACGTACCGTAGCGAATCGCCATCTCGGCGCTTCCTCCTCACTTCATTTGCAAAGACTTGCATCGGGACCGGCTATGTGTAGCCAGACTAAGCGCTTGTACTGACCCACTCTCACTCTCACCTTTCTCTTTCCCTCTGTCTCCTCTCTTAGATTTTCTCCTCTCAAGAACGGCACCATCCTCTCGCGCGAATCTATCAGAAGGATGAGAGCATATATACATTTATGTATGTCTCTTTATAAAGTCGCAAATTTTTAATTTTAAAGATATAAATTAAGAATCACAAATAATTCATCGAACATTTTTTTCAAACTGAAGGATTTTTCAGATACACGAAATGTCAAAATTAAGAAATTTAAAATAAAAAAATTTCCACCTTTTTACGAAGTCTCTCAGATTAGATTGAATATAAATCAAATGTTAAAAGTGAATATAATGTGATGAGTTCAATGATGCAGTCATAGGTAATTAATTATGATTTTTCTGCAATTTAATTATGAAATATCTATCTATTATTAATCTTTACAACAAATTGATAAATAAAAATTCTAATAACATATGTATTTAATTTTTTAACAGAATACTGCTTTTTCTAGCACTGTAACATGATAAAAAATCAAATAACTTTTTTTCTGCCTCGACTATCTCAAGAAATCGATGATAATCATAAAAAAAGCAAGGAATGATTTTGTTGAATTTGTTTTGAATCTTGTTTAACTACGTATAATTATATTAAAATATAAAACATACGATATGAAAATGCATAGGCGGAAGAAGACATGTATTCCGGAATTGCAGCTGCAACCGCAGAGATTGTCGATAAATCTCATTAGCAATTCGGTGTTAAAAATCAGAATGGCACGACAAATATTTTTTTGTAGGCGCAGCAAGTGAGCGCTCTTCCCGACCGCACGATGTAAATAACACGTGCCTACGTCTAGATAGACAAATCGTTACGTAATTTGCATTAAAGCAATTGCCTCGGCAAGTACAAACGGATAATGATATTCGCAATTGGACTAGATCGCGCGTAAACGAGATAATTAATTAATTGCACAGCGCGGTGCAAAAGATGCTGAAGACGTCGCCGTCAGTCGACTACGACATCCAGCTACGATGAAGGACACACTTCTAATAGTTCTGCTTCACCTGTGCTGGACTTCTCTCCCGGAAGTGTGTTCCTCGAGGTAAATGACTTTGTACTCCTTTAAACGTCATTTTCGCCTCATTACGCACAGCGCGACAAAACGACGCAACGTCGTTTCTCGCTTTCGAAAAACGATGAAGAAAAACGTGTGCAAGTAATTCCACGCTTGAGAAGTAGAGAAAAGAAAGTTCCAAGTTGTTTAGTTTTGGCACACACAAAATTGCAACAATTTCTTGCTATAATGTAAATTTATTTATTTTTGGCAATTTGTATTAGAATCTTCACTCCTTGGAAGAACATGGAAAATCTAGAATTATTAACGGTTTCTTTTGTATCTGGAAAAATTAGAGAACTCTCGTGAAATTTTATTGAGACACAAGGAATTTTTTTGTAAGAAACTCTCTTCTTGATCATTTTCTTCTTCTTAAGCAATCTGCTGACAAATCGTGAAATATATATTCAAAATATATTTCAAATATATATATATATATATATATATATATATATATATATCTGTGTTTATATTTATTGTCTCAACAAAATATCGAATATACAGTACATATTCTTTATTACAATTTTTAATGAAAAAATAAAAATATTGTGCAAGTGAAAAATGTTTATCTTAAAAACTCTTTCTCTCTATTCATTTTTTTCAATACATTTGCAAGTCTAGCACTTAAAATTTAAATGATTCTATGTTTTTCTTTCATATGAGTGAAGAGCATTCAAAAATGAATATAAAAAAATATCTTATTTTAGAAATTTGCATTAAAATATCTTTCAACAGTGTTCCTGGAATTCTGAATAAAAAGATCTGAAAGATCAACTAATTTTACTTTAAGACATTTTTTTTAAGATTTGAATAGATATTCTAATCAGATTTATTTTAAATATTTTATTTTATTTGGCACGTGCCCCATACGCAGCTAGTTTTCTAATTATAATTATATAAAGAATACAATAGAATTTTATGTAGAATTGCATATAATTCTACTACATTTTATATATATTTTTTATTTTTTTATATATAAAATTTTTTTATATATAAAATTTTAATCTAAAAAAACAAATTAAAGTAAGCACAAATTGCAAAATAAATTTGCATCAAACTTGCCAAAAAGAATTAATTAAAAATAACGGAAGCAGCGCAAGTTTACATTGTAATAAGAAATTGTTACAATTTTATGTAATAAACAATTAGTAATTTTTGAAATCAGATAATGGCTAAATATATAAATGTTGTTTAATTTTGCGTTACAACTTGATTAAGCATATTCATATCTTATCTTTATCATTTATTAATTCATTTTAAAAATATGCACATTAGGTACTTGGATTTTCGCAAACTTCTTGTATGAAAAGATAAATTTTTTAACTTATCATTTTCTTGTGTTTTTCAACAGATAATAAACATATGTCTGCAAATAGACCTAACACGATCAAATAAGTATTACCTAACCAGAAAAATAAACATCATGATTTTATCTCGGTGACTCGTACAAAACCATGTATTGCAGTAGAAAGATTTTTTCATATTTAATTTTTTTCGAGAATTTTTAACGAGTCAGATATGTAATAATTCCAATAATAATGAATAATGAAATAAGCAAATTGAATTAACATAACGTTAACAAAGAACATTGTAATAACATGACATTTTTTCGCAGCTCATTCAACGAAAATGTCAATAATTGCACCATGACGTCGAGGCTAATTTTGCCAGAACGTTACGTCAAAGGTAAAGAATGACTTATAGAGTGTTTCTAATAGACAACAGTGTATAGTAAAAAATAAAATTGTAAATTTAAATTTATAAATTTTACTTTTATAGAAATTAGGCCGCCGTCAGAGAAAGGTGCGCCTGTAGTGGTAGATTTTAATATTTTAGTAGTTGACATTAACTCCATCAACGTCGAAGATATGGATTTCCGGTAATTGTTCTGTATTTATTCTATCATTTTTATCATTGAATTATAATTTTAAACAATTAAATAAAATTTTATACACATATAATTTTTTTCAATTAAAGTACAAAAAATCTATTTAATTAGAAATATATAAATAAAAACAAGAAAAACTATAAACATGTATAATCATAGCGTGGACATGTTCGTCAGTCAGAGTTGGATAGAATCTCGATTTGACATGTCTCAGAATATTTTTGAGGAAGACGATGATTATGTTATACTTCCGCCAGAACTCTTCGATAATCTTTGGCAACCCGATCCATATTTTTTGAATTCGAAAGTTTCCGGTAAGTATAAAGAGAGCTCTGTTTGCAATTCAAAATGTAAATTACATAAATATATATAATTAATAATTTTCCAGAGATTGCGACTTTGAGTCACAAGTTCTCACTGGTCACTTTATATCGGAATAAAACCGTCAAGTATTCTGCACGAATTAACGCCATTGTTGCCTGTCAGATGGAATTTCAATTGTATCCAATGGATATTCAAATCTGCCCAATTTACATAGAGAGCTGTACGTGAACCTTAAATAAATAAAAAGTGATTATAACGATGTATAAATTTCACAAATAAGTACTTTTTATATAGAGTATCGTTTTAATATTGTTTTAATTCAACATTTATATCTTAACATCTATAATTTTAATATTTTTAATTTTAATTCAATATTTCTTATAAAGAAGACTTATTATTATATCTCTACATTATTTTTCTTATATTTTTCCATCTTCAAAGATAGATAAAAAACTATGAAAAAAACATGATTGTTCTCGGATAAGATTTTGATAAATCTATTCATTCGTTATAACTCAAATTATTTGTCACAGTTTCCTATAATCGAAAAAAGTTGCGCTTAAAATGGGGTGCGAGTGGTGTTACAGTGAATCCTGAATTGAAGCTCTTGCAATATGATATCGGGAAGCCTGTGGTGCTCGAAGAGACTATAGATTATATGCTCGAAAAAAATGGTATATATCTAAAATTTAATCTTTATTCATATGTTTATTAATTTGAATGTGAAATCTCAACTCTTTCTCTCACGATCAATTATTTAATTTTATATAACATTTTTTTAAATATTAAAATCTTTTTTTAAATGGTTTTAAATATTAAAACCATTTAAAAAAAGATTCATATGTAACTGTGTAAATATATATCCATATATTTTTTTTCTTCTTGTAGGAAATTTTTCGCGATTAGTGGTTTTTTTTCGCTTCGAGAGGCAGATCGGACATCACTTGATACAGACATTCGCGCCCTCGACACTGGTGGTGATGCTCTCTTGGTTCAGCTTCTGGCTGGGCTTGGACGCGATTCCTGGTCGAGTGGCTCTTCTGGTCACAAGTATGCTTACATTGGTGACGATGTTCACTGGACTCAAGAGTGACATTCCACCAGTGGCATACATCAAAGTAAGTTTGCGAACAATGCACTCGAACAACCTTATCTTCGAGCTGTCTTTATAATGTAGGGCATGCCTTTTATTATTCTTTTCTTCTGCACGAGAATTTACGAGTTGTTTGCTAATACAGGCACTGGATGTCTGGATGGCTGGCTGTATGATGTTCGTATTTGCGGCTCTGGGTGAATTCGTTGTCGTCAAGGTGCTCGACTTGCGACACACCGAGAATGATTCACACAGTTCCACGGGATCTCGTTTGCTTTCGGTTCGAACTATACAGATCTCGTTAGATGATTTTATCAATTGTATTTCACATCTTTCTCTCCTTTTGTTGAATATTAATTATTTATTTTTAGCGATTAACGACGACGGATAAAGGACTAAATATTTGGGATGACGAGTTCATTTATACAACTAAATCGAAAAATAAGCGAACAATCAATGGTCATTTGCTGCCAACTCTATGGATGCCAGATCCCAGTCAGACACGGATATGTAAAACACGCTCTCAGAAAATAGATTGCTATAGCAGAATTGTGTTTCCTATACTTTTCCTATTTTTTGTCATTTTATATTGGCCAATAGTATTGCTTAAAAAGGCACCGTAATAAAACATATTTTTATAAACGAATTTTTCTATATACAAGCTATTTAAAATTTTTTTTTCATATTTATTGAAATAAATCGATTAAATTTAAAATGTATGAAAAATTTAGAAAAATGGATATATTTAGGATAAATTTTTGTCTGGCATTTATTTTTCTTGCACAACAATTTCATATATACACTGTCTTCATTCTATAAAATTTGAATAAGATTCAATCAGTGTCCATTTTTTCTATAAAAACGTCAGACAAAAATTCATCGTCTATCGTAGTAGCGGAATATCTTGATACGTTTTTTGCAGATTTTAATTCCCCTATTTTCAATATATAACTTATTGTATATTGATTAAAATCACATCTGCAAGAGAAAATAACATTTTCAATTATCTTTCTGTTAGTAACATATGTTATTATAGTGAAGAAAATTTATAACTTACATTCTACTCAAATCGTCATATTTCTTTTGCATATTCTTATGTAGCATCAATAATACTGGCATCTGAAGTGCAGTATTAATTCGCGATCCATGTTTTGTCAAGATTGTTTCTATCCATAGAAGATAGAAATGTACATGCCTGGTTGATTCCAATCCGGACGCTATAAATTTCAGTAATTTCTCCACATAAATGTCTGGCATACCCGTCGTCGTTAACTCAACTGTAGTATAATAAAAAAATAATGAATATTTATTTATACAGGGTGTCTGAAAAATTAAATTATACTGATAAAATTATTAATATGTTCAATTGAAGATGTATATAAACTCTTACTCTCTTTGTACGGAATAGCTTCTATAACTTGTTGTGTTAGTAGTTTTTCATTTAGTTTCAATGCCATCATTAGAGCTAAAAAAAATAATATCGTTTATCTTGTTGTTGTTATTTCTAGCATAAAAATGTTAATGTTAATTTATACCTTTTGTATAGTCATGTTTATCAAGTGTTTCTTTTACAGTATCTGGAGTGATCCCAAGTTCCAATTGAAATGGATCAAACATCAATCCAATATCCAAAGAATATATCAATAAACCTTCTGTTGTTACAGCAGCCCATGCTTGTCCTATTTCACAAAATACAGAATGATTTGCTGAACTTGATCAAAATTATTAATAATATATAAATCTTAAATTATTCATACTGTTTGTGGTATGGAAAAAAATTTTTAAACAAAAGTTGTATAGCATCAAAAATTACACATGATACAATAATCAGTTTTCACTATCTCATTTTTTTAACTGAAATACCACCATAAGTTTTATAAATGAAATACTCGATATTTAGTTTTGAAATTTGAAAGAATGTCAAATGCTAAATAAAAAAAGTATTAGAGTATATAGAATCAAAAATTAATAATTATTAAGATATTCTTAATTTTTATGCAAACAATGTTATAATGTACTATAATATATCATTCTTAATATCATGTGATTCTAAAACATTTTATCATGTAACAAACAGTTTGACATGAGAAATTTAAAGTGATCAAGTTAGATGATTCACCTGTATATTATTTAAATTGATTACGTTTATTTTTCAAATAAAATTCATAGTCATTTTTACCTGTAGGAGAGAATTGTAAGCAAAGTACTCTCACTTCCGGTTTGACTCTCCTGCTTGCCATATCGCCACTCCTGACTCCTGGTAATCGTAACGATATGTTTCCACTTTCACGGTGTTCAATTAAGGCTCTGTTTCCAAATTCGGACATGTATTTCCTGTTTATAACATCCTATCGGAATAAAAATATAACATTATAACTGAGATAAAAATGGATATTATTTTCTGCAATTGCAAATTTAAATATAAAAAAATTGTTTCTTACATCCACGCCATCCAGAGATCTATTCTGAGTGATTTCATATTTTTTCAACAATATTGATTCTTTAACATTATAAATGCATACGTTCTTGGAACGACCACCGGCTAATATGCACGTACCATCAGCCGAATAACACAAAGTAGTGAAAGCTCTGAAAAAAATCAGATTTAATAATAAATTTAAATATATCCGATGTGTAATATTTCATTATTGCATCAAACTACTTACTTGCCCTGCAAATTTTTCTTTGCTGTAATAAGATCTGTTTTAGATCTACCGGCACCTAGATCGTTTCTGCCCTCAATGAATCCCGTTTGTTTTGCCGTTTTACATTCGAAAAACGTAATCTGTCCGTCTAACGTAGCAACAGCAATCTCTTCTCCATTCGGTTTGTAAGTGACACATAACGCATCAGCGATCAATCGTATAGTCTCGTGCGCAGAACCATTTTCGACGGCATTCCATATTTTCACTGTTTTATCCCAAGACGCGGATACCAGTTCTGTACTGGCAGGACTGGGATTGAACGCCAAGCTTGCGATAGGTCCCTCGTGACCACTCAATATCTAAAATGGTATATTTTATTTTACGAATTATCATAACATAATATAAGAATCAAATTATACAGTTGTGAAAGTTAAATTACGCGATTTGCGTATCTACGGTAATCAAAATTATACAGGCGTACCTCCAAAAGAGTTCCGAGCTTCATACTCCACAGGTACACATCGAAGAAATCTTGACCACCCGCTGCGAGAAACTCATCACTCGCGTCGATTGCCAAGCAAGAAAATTGCACCGGCCGTGGCGACGTAAGAGTTCGAAAATTTCTGTATCTCGCTAAATCATAAGCTCGTATCGTTCCGTCCAACGAGGCAGATGCGATAAATTTACGGTTGTGGCTAAAGAGAACGCCGGATATCGACGAGGCGTGTTCGTGAAACGTGAGCGTGCAAAATCCACTTAGCGTATTCCATAATTTGACTTTTCCGTCGTCGCCGCCCGTTACGATGTATTGGCCATCGGGACTATACGCAAGACAGTTCATATTAGTTCTATGTCCTTGCTGTTTCATGACGTATGTTTCGCTCTGCCATTCCCAAACTAATAACTGACCAGCATGGGAACATCCTACAGCTATCCAATCTCCAGTGGAATTTAATGCGATTGATGAAATACGTTGTCGAGAAATACTGTAAGCATATACAGCAATTTAAAATAATATATTTAACGATAATATAATAAATGTATCTAAATATTGTAAATTATATTCTTTTAGATATTACTATACCTTAATGAATGGATCAAATTTGCATGCGGCATCTCGTATAAATAAAATGAACCTATATTAAAACCTATAACTAATATATGAGTGTCTTGATGATAAGCAGCTGTAGTAAGCCTTGCTTCCTTATAATGCTTCTGGACTTCGTTTCCTAAATAAAAAGTAGCTTCCTTTTTGTAACCTAGCATCTTAATTTGTGTCTTTTTGATAGTACTTTCTTCTTTCATAGCATCCTCTTCTTCACCATTTTCCAGCAAATCATCTAATAAAATATGTATATTTATAAAGAAAGTACTTTTTTACTTAGTCTTACAATATAATTGATAAAGAATATAGCAATTGAAAGTTCTTATATAGAAATATAGAAATTAAGTTTTTATAGAAGAATGTGGAAAATTTTATTACCTGATTCTAATAGTTTACGTTCAGCACGAGCTTTTTGCTTTTCTGTTCTCTCTATAATTTTCTCTATGTCAATATCATCCTCACTATCACTCTCATTACCTTTAGTCTTCTCTTTTTTTGCAGGTGGTTGCCATTCAACCCAATCGTCCGGTTCGAGCGTACATTCCCACACACAAAGTCGACCATTTCTATAAAAATAACACTCCAAAGATTTATAACAGCCTAATTTATTTCTATAAAATATTTTTATGCAGAATTATAATAAAACTATTTGTGAAATAACAATAATAATTAAAAAACTTGAGTTAAATATAAATATTTAATTAATAAATAAATATAAATATTTTAATTTATATTAATTTAATTTTATTATTTTATTAATTTAATTACTAAATGTAAATATTTTAATCATTCACACTTACTTGCTAATAGTATACATGTCATAATCTTTACTTTCAAAGAAACATGCTACTATCACATCAGAATGCCCACCCAATGTAATCCATCTAAGATTCGCCGTTTTTTGTAAACTATATATCTTTATAGTAGTATCCTTTGAACCAACTGCCAATAGTTTTGAATCAAAGGACCAACTAATGCATGTAGTTTCAGCAGTAGCTCCGTGAAATGCACGTTCCATAATAAATGGATTATAATTTCCTGTTTGCAAACCTGGTGCATTGAAAACAAAAACTGAAACATAGAAAGAAATGTTATTTTAAGTAATGATTATAACATCTATATAAAAATATATATGCTTTTATAAATAGTTTTATATATTTATAATGATGAATACATACCACCACCTCCTTTACAAACTGCGAAATGCTTTCCATCTGGAGAAAATTTTACACGCTTAGGACGCCCTTTAAATCTATATTTATGTAGAATAACTTTACTTATTAAGCTGATTATATGAGCTTCACCATCTGCAAGTTATAAAATTATTTTTTCTCAGTTTTTTCTTTAGAATTTTTTAGATTCTTATTAAATATTATTACAAATTATATATATTCCCATGATATGTACTATGCAAAAAGGAATTTTACCTGTATTAATCGCAACTAACATACTGCCATTTGGCGATATATCGACAGTAACATAATTAAATCTGCTTTCCACAGGAAGCGTCATAGATTTATTGCTATAAAAAAATCATTTTTATACATATATATTTATGAAACTTTGTAGGAATTATTAATATATAATATTTATAAAAATTTTCTTGAAGCTTTTAGATAAATATGTTGATAGATTTTGCTATACCTACTTTTTTAAATCAAATATTGTAATTCTATTGCCTACAGGACTGATCACTGATGCTCCATCTGGAGAAAAGAGTAATTCTCCTTTACGATAAACTGTACCAAGTAAATTACTAAACTGTAACAGAGAGAAAAATTTAAAAAATGTTATTACATATATTTGTTTATATTTGGAATATATATTATTTGTCTTTAATATAATTCTCAATAACTATGTCAACATGTATTATTCATAATTAAATTGACTGAATGTAAAATTTAATTTTAATAAATTAATTAATTTAATATACTAAACATACTAAATATACTAAAAAATAAATTAATTTTAATAAATATATTTAAAAAATTTAATTATTTTAAATTTCATAAGAGGTTAGAAATATTAAATGCTCGAAACATGTGGTAACTTAACGACTTGACGTAAAGATACGATCATGCATTATCTAATTTTTCAAACAATTACTATTTTACCTTGTATGAGAACTTCATTTTTTTTTTTGATAATATCACACAAGTTTTTTCAAAACAAAAACACGTGTATACATATAAAAAGAGTATTCTTTCAACTTCTTATATTTTCAGACGACGGAAGTTCGCTTATTCTGATCCTCCTCACCCAAAACTATTTTGTATCCTACATTTTGTTACAAGGTGGCTCCACCTCTTTAGACAAGGATTCCAATTTGTTAAATGGTTCGAGTCTTCGCTAAGCATTTGTATGAATTTTTATCTAGACAATTATATATCGTATGTCAATCATGTGAAAAGTATCGATATTGCAATATTTATCATGTGATACACTCCTTGTCAAGTGTTTCTGATAAATCAAGCTTATTTAAAACGATATCTAAAGATATTTGAGAAACAAAGATTATTTTCACCGAAAAGAGAAGATAATAAAATCACGAGAATATATTCGATATTTTTATTCATAATAATACGTACTTAGATCCAAGAAAATTGCTGAAATTTGCCGACATATAATTTAAGGAGTCACATATTTTAATCCAAAAACTTTTTCTTCAAAACCGAGGTAATTAGGTCAAGGATACACGAGCGTTGAATAATAAAGAAATCGCTCCAGCACATAATGTCAGCGGCAAAAAAGAACACATTTTTCTCAAGAATTTACCTCGAAATGTGTCCTGCTATTTTCATGATCACGTTCAAAATTTGAATCGTGAATATATCATTTATCTCCCTCTTTTTAAAAGTTCCCAACGCAGCGAGCCAGCTGACAATTGAAACACGCGGTCATGTGCCTGCCTCGCGCACAGGAGCCGCCTTAAACCTGACGATATCATGTCACGCGCTCGCGACGATGAAACCGTGCGCGTCGACGCGGCCAATCGGCGATCCGCGCGTCGAGCGGTGGGGATGAGACGCGGCGCGCGATTGGCGGCGGAGGCGCGCCGCCGGCGAATCGCGACGCGACTACGCGCGACTCGACTCACGGCCGCCTATCTCCGCGCGTTGATCGCTCGTCACTCATCACATGACCCGCGCCACCGTACTCCGGCGTAGGCCATATTTGACAGTGGCCCACTAGTTTAGCGACGTGAGTGACGTGAAGATCGTTCTACGTTCGACGATCCGTGCGACCGCCGATCGGCAACCTGTAAATACACCCGCGATCGACTTCGATTGACCAAGAGACCCGACAAATCGAGCCACGATGGAGGAAGCAAACGAGCAAGCCCCGATATACTCGCCATTCTTCGGCGTTATGGGCGCCGCCTCTGCCATCATATTTTCCGGTGAGTTTCAACTGTTGTCGGGCCTCCATCGCCACCTCGTGATCTCGCTCGCGAGACCGCTCGGCGATCGCGTAGAGCGATTCCTTTACGGAATGCATCCGGGATACATGGATTTGCCGATCGTCGTCGTCGTCGACGACGACGACGACGATGACGGCACGATATAATGTCTCACGCCATTTTCTCGAGCGGCGTAAGACGGACGAAAAATCCTCCGTTGGTGTGCGAATAGCGCGGCGCGCGCGGATTATCGATCCCCTCGTCGCGGAGAAACGTCGGGGGAGCGTTTTCCACGGGCGTTCGCGGCGACGTCATGTGGCCGACGAGACGCGTGACGTTTCCACGAAACGGACCCGTGGTCGCGATCGCGAGAGGCTGCTTCTGAAATTTCGGCCGCGTTATCTTATCGCCCCTCTCGGGGAGGAGAGTTGTGCGCTCCCGCCGTCTCCCCCCGCCCCCCTCCCACTCGCCCCTCGTCGCCGGAAGGCAAATCGATTTCCTTTCTTCTTTCGCTTTTTTTTCTCTCTCTCTCTCTCTCTCTTCATATCGATTTTCTTTCTCGTCGATTCGATTTCGCGTTTTGCGTTTGGTTTCGTCTCGATTGACAAGAGGCTATTTCGCAATCCGGGGAACGCGGTCCGCGCTTTATTCGCGGATCCGCCGGTCGGATCTGGGCGCAGCTTATTTCGTAATGCTGACCTCGGACGAGCGCGCGCCGCTAGAATTTTGCGAGTCTCGGAAAAGCGACGGAGAAGAGAGAGAGAGAGAGAGAAAGAGAGAGACAGACGGACGGAATATTCGCAGACGCGAGCCTCGTGCGTGTCACGAGACGCGCTTCCCTGCGACAATTCCCTGTCTTTACCTGCACCTTCCTCTCTCTCTCTCTCTCTCTTCCACCTGGTATTTCTGGCATCCAGATTAAATATTTCGACATGAATGTCGATTAATCGGTGAAAAATCGATTCTCCCTCCTTTCCCTTCGTCGCTTGTATTTTCTCAATTTTGTCAAAATAAAGAAGACAGGTCGCAATTTTTCTCTCGCAAGACATTTCTATTGATTTACAATTAATGATTTTCCCGAATTCGCAGTAAACGGTATGGCCCCCCCGGGACCGCCGCCAGCGTCGCTTACTATTGGGAAGATCAATACCTTTTCCCGTACGAGCCTTCGTACGCTTTTCTCATCAATGGGGATACATTCGCGCGATTGCCGATGAGGATAAACGAAGCGAACGTCACACCTTCCGCCTCCGTCATCGTCGTTCTCCGAAAAGTATCGATCGGAATCATCGATTACCTGGACGGCCTATAACGAGAGGCGTTCGTGATTGATTCGTTCACTCGAGTCGATTTTATTTCGACGACGGAGAATAACATACGTGCGACAAGAGCTCAAATTCGATCCAAGTTACTCGCGTATTTCTTTCCGCAAAGTTAAAAAAAAAATACGAAAAATATATAAAAAAAGAAAAATACAAAACAAGAGAACAAAGGAATCGAGTAACTCGGTTTATCAGACTTGTAACGCTTCGCGTAAACCGGACAGCGAAATCGACTTACACCGAGTACCTGTGACGTTTATTTACAATAAAGATGCTCGCGATAACGCACATATGTTGGCAACGGTGCTCAAAATTGCCACGATCGGTACGCAATAAGGGCCACAAAAATGCCAAATGATTTTTGTTACGAGAGGAAAAAAAATGAGCGATCGCGCCTCTCGCACAGCCACGCCCCCTCGCCTCCCCCCCTTCCTCCTACTCACGAGTTGGGACTTGATTGTCATGTGACTGCCAACGTGAGAATCATGTGACTGCGACTTCCAGAACTGGGCTGGGTATATCCGTGAAGATACCTGTCGCTACCGTCAAAGTCGAGGACGATTTCGACCGATTTTCACGGGAAATTTTCCGTCCCTCTCCTGAATTTTCGTTCTCCTCACCCTCTCGGCGAAAAATGGCACGAGACGAAAAATTATTTTCGTCCGCTTTGAGACTGACTGCAACGAGTTCTCGATCGATAATCCTCGTGCACGCTCTTGGCGGCTAAAACCGTCGAGAAAAGTGTGTCCGAGAAAACGCATGCAGAATTTACTTCACGATTCCTTAGACGAGGCATTTTCGGCGGCTTTCTAAAACGGGACAGTTAATTCGCGCAGAATTATACTGTCGATCTACAAATCAATTTGTCACGAGTTTCGCTTTAAAAATGTCGGACATGCCGTCCACATATATCTCTAATTTATTAATAATTTTCTTAATTAAATTTGTTAATGAACGAAGGAATTTTACAGATTCATTCGAAAACAATTCTAATTAAGTACTAAGCTATGGGCAATTTAGTCAAAATTTCTTTTAGTCGAATTAACAAAATTTTTAATTTAATATTTATATAGTTGTTATATTATTATAGTTAATAATCGCATTTATTATTTCGTTATTTATCCTACTAGAAAGACAGGTGGGCATTTCGACGTTACATTTGATATTAAATTACATAATTTTGAAAGTATTTTAAATTAAATTATTAATATTATATTCATTTCTCTACATCATACGTGATTAATTCATGATAAAAAAACATTAACTTGAGTATATTTACAACAAAATGTAATAAATTTTTTTTACACATGTAACGAAATATTAATTTCATTTTACAGCTCTCGGAGCAGCATATGGCACGGCGAAGGCCGGTACAGGAATCGCAGCCATGTCTGTCATGAGGCCAGAATTAATCATGAAATCCATCATTCCTGTTGTCATGGCAGGTATCATTGCCATTTATGGCCTTGTGGTGGCTGTTCTCATTGCTGGCAATCTTGAAAAAGTCCCCAAATACACCCTGTATACGTACGTATCTCATTTAACGCTTCCATTGTATACAATAAATCTCCTGCTGTAATACTTGGATGTCTGTTCAAACACAATGAAATGTTATGATGGTAGTTACAAACTTTAGCTCTTACAATTCGCTGTGAAAAGAGAATGAAAAAAGATAATAATGTATTTATTACACACATGAATGAGAGAAAGCAATTCTGTAATTGACACAAAATTTTTGTTCCTGCCACTAGGGGATTCACTCACCTGGGTGCCGGTTTGGCCGTAGGCTTCTCCGGTCTAGCTGCCGGTTTTGCCATTGGTATTGTCGGCGATGCCGGTGTGAGAGGCACCGCTCAGCAACCTCGTCTTTTCGTCGGTATGATTCTGATTTTGATCTTCGCCGAAGTATTAGGTCTCTACGGTTTGATCGTGGCCATCTATCTATACACCAAGTAAACGGTCAGTAACGGCATCCTACTACCTGCCACATGGCTCCATGCAAGACATGTCGCCTGCAACCAACAGCGCTCCCCGACTACTATTATGCTACAAAAAAAAAAAAGATAATTTGTTTCGACATTTTACTTAATCACGTTACTCCATGCATACCTATCTACTTCTTACCATCTCGGCTCATCTCTTTGCGCGTTCCTCCTCCCCTGTAATATCGTAAACTCAAAAATCGATCTATTTAGCGTCCAAACATTTGTAACCACACAACGCCATTACTCATCACACAAATCATATAATTATATCGACGATTGAGAAATGCGTCCGACATTTTATTGATATCTCGCGACATCGTTGCATTTCGACGCTGCGGTATGCAAATGTATAGCAGAAAAAGATGGAAAGAAAATGGACGATGGCTGACAGGGAAATTCATTATTATATATATATATGTAGAGAGAAGATCTCTCATGTTAATTCCACTGTCGAACATTTCTCTTTCACTGTATAGTAATCATCATTTGTAGCTTAGTACGACATTGAATTACCAGTTAAAGTAATCGGCTCTACTTGAGTGTATAAAAGAAACCATGTTATTGATAAAAGAATATTTAGCACAATTATATATATAAATAAATATATATATATATATATATATTAAATGCGATCGCGAAACGGCAGGTACGCGAATAAGTATCACGTAAGAAAATAAAAAAAAAGGGAAAAACTAAAGAAATGAAATTATATTATCGGAATAGGAATATGTAAGTGTAGGTGACGCGAATCGCGCGTGATAAAACGGCGTAATATAAAAAAGAGAGAAAGCGAAAGAAAGAGAGAGTGAGAGAGTGTACTGGACAAGATCTCGTGTGCGAGAATAGAGATTATTCAGCTAAAAAAATTAATAGGAGAATGATGGATCAAACTTTGGTAAAAAAGAAGTATGAATGCAAATAGTAGTTGATCAACAGGTACACACGATAGTATTAAGTCAATTGAGAGGCTGCTGGACGCGGCGAAAATTTCGCATTTTCACGGTTATTCATGGACAACGATACGATCGATGCGATAGAAATGAAGAAAAAAAATCCCGTCTAATCGTCTGCGGAAGCCGCAAAGGCCAGCGGTCAACATCCGATTAGATGAGCGATTTTTCTTAACCGTGGTCATATATATTATACACACATATATATATATATATTATTTCCATCATTGTGAGAGGAAAGAAATGTGATCGTATGTCAATGGAGTAACGGGGATGTGAAAAAGCTTGCGTGAAAATCGTATAAAAACACCGTACGTGTACCAGTAGACACACCACACACACAAACATACATACATAAAGAGGGACAAACACACCGTATGATGGCGAGGAATTACCTAAGAAGAGTTATTATACATACGATGATAACGAGACATGTGTAAACGGAGGATAATTCGTACATTCCATATTAAGTTCGTTCAATGCAGGCAAGCGGGCGTTTAAAAGGAAAAAAAAGAAACAAAATTCAACAATTCGCTACGTCAACATTCGTCGCGTTGGATGGATTGTCGATTGGGAGCTGATGATCGCATCCCTCGCGTGTGTCACAATCTTTCGAGCACCACCTCTCCCTTGAAATTTTGATTACAGAAACGAAAGATGTAGATGGATAGAAAAAGAGAGAGAGAGAGAGAGAGCGAAACCTGAAGAAAACGCCCGCTTGCCATCTTTTTGACTGTGCAGTATTTTCTACCTAAGAGAAACAAGCTCAATGTATAGGCGCATTTCCCCAGCAGAAAAGGAAACACGAGGTATCATCGAGAAAATTGAATTAATAAAATTTAAAGAAAATTGCATGTGAATCGAAGAAACGAGTTAACAACATTGTATTCTCGCTTTGAAAATGCACCTATATATATATATATATATATACATACATGTATGTCTCAAGATTACCGGAAACACTATACATAGACTCGACGTCATCGTCGAGGAAGAATGGAAGGGCAAGATGCGGAAGAAAAATTAAGATTTTTCGAAAATTCGCGCGTACACAATCATCGCGACGCTATAAAAAGAAATATAATGCACGAGCGAGCCGGGGAGCGGTGGTGGTGGTTTGTTTATCTTTTCTTCTTCTTTTTTTTTTTCAACGTCACTTTACGCTTCACGAACAAAATGCAGGCACATTTAAAAAAAAAAAGATTTTAATCGCCAAATTATCTTTCTTCCCCTCCCCCCTCCCCCCGCGCATCTCTCCCTATTTTTCCTGTATTTTAATATGTAACACATTGAAGCACACATACACACAAAAATGATTATGTATCGAGACAAAAAAAAACGGATTCGGAATTTAATTATAGTTGTGCGCGCGCGTGTGATGTATATACATACCACCACGATGCTTCACGCTACGATAATTAAAATTTAGGCTAGATTAGGTATTGTTGTATACCAAAACCTCGTGTAGCTGAGTGAACGCGATAATTATTCAAATATATATATAATGAAAGGATGCGAAGACGTATGAGCGAGCGAGAGGGTGAGAGAAAGAATGATCGAAAGAGTACATGAGAGAAAGAGAGAGAGAGAGAGAGAGGGAATGCATGAGAATGAAAGATAGATGCACTTGGTAGAGGGAGTAGAGAGAGAGAGAGAGAGAGAGAGACACCACCACCCCATCCCCGCCCTCGCCCAACCCCCAACTCTATTATCTTCCAGTGTTACTAATAGACTCATTGTTGAGCGCGAAAAAGTGATACTGATCGACGATGATTATTTATGTTATAATTCGTCCTCGATGTTACAGAGAAACCGTGTTTAATAAAAATTTCATTTGGACAAAAAAAAACAAAAGCGGTATCACTCAACCAGTCATTGGAGATTTCACCTGGAGTGCGCCTGATCCGAAGAGTGAGCGGCTCGGATTCCAAACGACTAGATTCTTCCGAGGCCGGCGAATAAGAAAAAAAATGTCGAAGCAAAGATCTGTCACTTTTGTTCTCGCTTAATTTATTCGCATGTCAATATAATTTGTCGAGGAGCAAACAAGGAGAATCTGTCGTCGGAATTCCAATCCGCTTATTCCGGGATACTCTGTACGTAAAGTACATACAAGTATATATATCTGACAGCCGAATATATATCTGCATGAATTTGAGATATCCATTTCTATCACTGCCATTAAATCGAAATGAGAGGAAACTGTACATGCACACTTGCTCTACATTCAGCACATAAATATACGTACACACATATATACACACACACACACACACACGCATATTTTGCTGCGATTTTGCGATATTTTAATAGCATCCATACCCTCCTAGTGCAACAAAACATGTAGCGCAAAACGCTTTGTGTTCATTCGCGGGGAGATCAGTCGGAAAGAATTTACGAGGATACTTTAATGCGAACACGTGAGATGTTAATTATGTTTCACGATGTCTTAATTTTGATTTTTCGAAAATGATAATAAAATGTGAACTTGTCCATTTGAATCGTGATACTTGTACCTCATTCTCACGAAGCCACTTTCAACATCAGTTCGATAAAGAAAAACTTTGTAAACTCAGAAAAAGAACAATAATTATTCCATGCAGTTTCTTGGAGATACTCAATACAGTTGCCAGCTTACGAGATACTTTATCATTTTTGCAAGAAATTTGAGATTAATAATATTATAATTTTGTGTACCTACACATACATCATGTGACACGTTGGAAAAACATTTCATTTCATTCCAAATTAAGTACAATGTTAAAACTATTAATCCTAAAACAGATAATAATAATAATTTTGTTTTATAAGGAGATTAAAATTAATAAGATTTTCGTAATAAATAAATACTGAGTTTATTCTGAGAGTTGTAAATTAAACCACTGAAAATTGAATCTAACAAACTTTTTCAATAATATAATTTTGAACGTGACAAAATTTTTCTAAAAATTACGTTAAACTGAGTATTTACTGCCTGAAAAAAACATGAAAACTAGAATTCTCGGGCATTTCTTGTATCTGAAAAAATCAAGAAATCTTGTAGAATTTTATTGGAACTCAGAGAATTTTTTTCAAAATCTCTCTGATAATTTTGTTTTCATATTATAAACAGTCAACAAGTCAAATGAATTATGCGTTTAAAAATAAATATATATATGTTTGTTTACATATTCAATAAATTTTTAATAGAATATAAAATGTGCAGCACATATTCTTTATCATAATTTTTAGCGATAAAAAAATGAAAATTTTATGTAAATGAGAAATGTTATCTTACAAATTCAGTTTTTTACTTTTACAAGTCTAATATTTGAAAGACTGTTTTTTCTTCGTATGAATGAAAAATATTAGAAAACATATATATATATATATATATATATATATATATATATATATATTAGATAAACGTATAAATTATTAGGAACGTAATGTACAAGAAAATTTATTTTAGAAAAAAAATTAAATTTTAAAAAATTGCGGTAAAAGATTTTTAAAATGATTCTTTATCTGAATTTTTAAATAAATCTGAAAGACCAGGAAATTGTGTTCACGAATTTTTTACAAAATTTAAGTAGATACTTTAGTTAAAGCATTATAAATAAAATAAATATTATAAATAAAATTTTTTTCAAAAATTGTAACACGTAGAGAGGGAGAATCTTTAAGTGATAAAAATATTCGCTGATATTGAGCATCAAAAGAAATATAAGGAATGATTTTTTTTTCTTGAATTTTTTTTTTCGAACTGTAACTCTAATTTGCATAACGTATGTAATTACGCAATTATTTTTGTTGATTGATTGATGTGAAGCATAAACTTTAATTGACTCCTTTTATGCAATTTGTAAGCCGTATGGTAAGTATTACATGTTCTTGTATAGAAATTCTGTTTAATCGTGTTTTTTTAATTTGTGTTTCATTATTTGATATATAATCAAGTAGTGTTTCGCGCACGATAAGATATGTAGAATAATTTGCAGTTGTGTGATAAAAAGAAGTCGATTCACGGTCTAGAGATACGAAGGCGAGAGGATTATATCACTTAATTATAAAGAATGAATCTCGTCCTAGGAACACAGTTTTTATTGACAGAGATAAAAGAGATGACGAATTTATCAGATTTTTAGTATCTAAGAGAAATTATAAAGATCTTTCTACATAACGTATTATATAATTCTCATTACACGTGAAATAATACTGAAAATGTTATACATGGGTCAAATATTATGCGTGTTTTATGTCTGTGTGTGTATTAAATTCAAAGAGCTGTGTGTAAATGCGTGAGAAAATAAATTAACATAATTGAAAAGATATGCATCATCGCTTTTTTGCGAACGGACGTGAATATAATGAAAACTTGCGCTTAAAGGCAGCATAATTATACAGTACGAATGTGTATCCATTAACGTATTCTTACAATAATATTTTGTAACAAACATTTCCTTCCTTTTTCGTTTATTTTTTTCTCTATATGTGCGAAGATGAAACTCGATTAATTCGACGTCAAATCCTCGCAATGAGAGATGTATTCGTATATGTATTTTGTGTTTGTCCTTTTTTCGAAAATATTACAACAAAAAAAAACGGTGAATGACATAATATTATACACGCTCGTACATATCGCTCGAATCGCACTCATTTAACGTTCTACTTATCATATATACCGCTTCAGCTGCGAAAAGAATTCTCATTAGCAATTAATGTGTATGTATGTATATTGATGTGCCGTTAAACTTTAATTCATGGACCGGATGATGGGATATGATGCTCGACGAAAAGAACGCGGCGAGCTATCGCTCGATCTTACAACACTTCGTGTATATTAGCTACACATTTTTAACAAGAAAAAAAAAGGACGCTATCTTTGAAGAGAAGAGGGGAAAAAACACTTCAGTCCGGCGATAAAATCAGGCATTAAAGATCATGAGACAACAAAAGAGGGATACGTATATACATATATATATGTACAATATTTTCTAGCGGCGAACATTATACATGAGCAACGAAAAATTGTATCCAAATTCTCTCGGTATTTCTCAATCTCCACTAATAGTACGATAAAAATACTAATCAGTCGCTTTGCCAAGGGAAAATGAAAAGATTAGATGTATGCGCGGCAAAATGTTCCACGAGTGCATCTTAAACGATTTTAAATGAAAGAGGGAAGATGATAAGATCTTTTAATTACGCACGGAGCTTGGCTTAATTATTGGCGTCTCTCATGCCGGTCTGAAGGTCATTTTAAGCTATCGTAATCAGCGACGATCGTGTTTGGAAAATACAGCAGCTCTCTCGATACCTGGTTCTCTATCCGCTCATCAATACGCGTGGTTGTCATCTTCTCGCGTGACAACTCGCGCGTACTGATCTCTTGCTGTTGCAGCGGCATCGAATGATATACGTAAAAAAAAAGATGTAGCGTATATAAGGCGGGAAATGTAAGGTGAAGGTAATTGGTCATCAATGCAACAACCAGGGGGCCATCTGTAATAAATTACACCAAGGCATATTTTATTCTTTTTTTTCTTTTCTTTTAAATACGAGTTTTAGTCGTGTCACTAGTGGTCGCTAATTATTATTGTTAAATGGATGTGATGTTGGCTGCTGGTTGTTATTATAACTGTAATTAATTAGTTACTTATTAAGAATCAAGTGGCGCTGCAAGTAGATACACAGGCAAACGGTGTATTCACTTTTTCCTTCTTCTTTAGTTTCGGCAATTTAAGTATCTCTAAATCGCAATCTAAAGATTTTATTCCGGATTGGAAAAGAAAGTGCTTCACGGTTTGCATTTTGCGTACACTACTAAGTTGGCCGTTCATTCCTGATTAATTCCGATTTTTTTTTTCATTAGAAAGATGTAGATATATTTCGATTATTGGATGATAATTATGTATAATATTAATAATATAATAATAATATTAATAATTGATAATAATAATAATTCCTCATAATAAATGTAATGCTTGGTACACAGAGATAACAAACGACTTCACTTATTGCCGCGGACAAAAAGACTTACAAAACGTGACACATGCACAATACTAGACAAAAACTCGGACAACAAAAATGACCAGATTAATTTTCTCGCGTTTTCCTTTTTTTTCTTTTTTGTTTTCGTTTCCCCTACCAATAATTATACAGCGGCGTAGTATCTCGATTGTATCTTTGCTGGCCCAATATTATTTTAATATAAATTATGTACCGATTTTTTTTTTAATTATCTAAAAAAATTCTAAAACTTCTTGCTTGAAACGTCTGTCATATACCACTCATTGGTTTCAAATTCTTATTCTTTTCCAGACATGATTGTAAAGTCCTTTTCAATCACGCGAGAGGGCTTGAGACAGACTAACAAGATGTTTGCGATTCTGGATGGAGATAACTCAATTAATAAAACTGAAACCTTCTACGGTTCAGTGATACAGATAATAAAACCCTATTCCAAATCATAGGTAGTCTGAATAGTACTCTTGAGGCTCTTCCAATTAATTCTTCTCATCCTCGTCGTCTTCCTCCTCCTCCTCCGATGCTTCAGCAAGCCATGTTAACCACGTATTTACCTATACATAATACAAATAGACCTGTGTATTAATTTTTATACTATTTAATTTAAATTAAATTAAATGACAAAGTTTATCAAAATATTTGCACAATTTTTCGTTCGTTGCTTACTTTTAAGCCATAAAATGTCCAAGATTGCAAATTTGCAGAGAGAATTTATACAGTAAAATTACAAAAAAAATTTACATCTATTGCATGCAGTTATTAACTATATATTACAACATAGAATTAAAGCTTTACTGTAAAGCGGAATCAAAAAATTCATTCAAAAAATATATTAATTATAAGAAAAAAAGATTCTTTGGGTAAAACTTGTTTATGAAAAATTATTATAATGACTGCACATGAATGTACCTGGAATAATGCTTTGCCCTTGCCCGGATAAGCATCGGTAACGGTATCTCTCCATTTGTGGTATGCTTCTTCTTCGATGACTTCAAGGTTATAGAGTGCTATGAACCATCGCAGCAGCAACCCTTTTGGAAAATTGTGCGAGAAGCAAAACACTTGAAGCGCATGAAGAGCCGTAACTTGAGAGTCGATGGTAGTCAGGAATGTGCGAATGAAGCGTGCATATTTCTGCAGTAACGCACTTTCCTTTTCTTGCAGTTGTTTGTCTGGATTTACGGTCGGATCAACGCCAGGCGCCAATGTTGTCTCCTATTATTTTCCCGAAAATAAAAAAAGAAAAAGATATATAAAAATATTACAGACTGAATTCTAATCATATATATATATATATATATATATATATATATATATATATATATATATATATGTACATAAGAACAAAAAAGTCACATTTATTAACTTAAATTATAATTATCTAGAGCAGTAAAATAATATCGTAATATTCATTATTTAAATTGCAATTTAAAATGCAATGACAACAGAGACTAAGACAGATATCAACTAAGTTACACTAACCCCAGTGATGTATTTGAAAAGTACATTCATCATAGCATTAATAAATGCGGGATCAGAATGGTGTTGAGGATCCAACTTCTCCTTGATCCACTTGTAAAGAGCATTAGGCGCTGGATCAGCCTCTAATTGACGCCACATATCTCCTTGGATTCTGAGAAGAGGATAAAGGAAAGTCAATTCCCGGTCTTCCAAGATCTCGCCCAAACGCTCCTTTGTCTTCTCCGCTTCTGGCAGTTGACTGATAAGATCCACTTTACTATCGTTGAAGATCTGCGTGAGTCTTGTCTTGCCTTGAGTTTTGTGGAGCTGTTGTAGAGTCAATAGGAACAGCGGATGATGACGACCATTTTCTGTTTCCGAGGCGAGATCCGTCAACTGAATTAGATTGTCCACTATAGCCTTAGCTGTCAAGAAGGCAACGTGGGACGCTACCAAAGGCACGGTACTTTCCTTCTCCGATATACTGGCCACTAATTCCTTCCATCCTTCGTTCACTTGCTGCAAAGTAAGCAAGCTCTCCTTCTTGAGCTCGACTACGAGCTTGATGGCGAGCTCACGTTCGGAATCTCCGCGATCCAATGTGTTAGAATATATCGTGCAGATCGCGTGACGCAAGAATCGCTCGGGGATCTTAAGATCTTTGAAGGCCGCCAAAGCGTCCTGCACATTTGTATGTGACGCAAGATCGTCCATTAACGCGTTCACCTTTTTCAACACTTCCTCCCGTGTGGGTCCCTTATCTTTTCTATCCCGAGCTTTCTCGCGCTTGTCTACGGGGCCTTGCTTGATTACTATAGCAGGTGGTGTCTCTTTGTGCAATAAAGGCGAGCTGGGTTTCAGAGCAGTGCGCAAGAGAGGCATATCTGAGCCTCGTCCTGGGAACAAATCTGTTATTTTTACAATTAAAATATATAATATTATTATTAAATTATTGAATTTTTTTTATATAATATTTTAGTAATTTTATAGTACATAATATTTCAGTAATTTTTTTTTAATTTTTAATTTTTTTTATTTTTAAAAATGACACAAACGAATAAAAATGTTTACCATTGTTGAGAGGTAGGTTCAAGTTGATATTAGTTTGTTTGAACATCATTGAATTGGCTGAAGGTCTCAGAGACACTTCTTCTGGATGTCCTCCGATCAACATCTTATTTTTATTGAATCGAAGTTGTTCTTTATTGCTATCTGTAATGGCATAAGAAAGGACATTGTTATCTTTATTATAGTTAATAAAAAATAATTCTGTATTAAAATAAAAAGTGTATCATCTGTACTTACTGTTGTTAAAGTTCTGCGGTAAATTGTGTTGCGGCTGGTTGCGTTTTCCTTCAAAATTATTCTGATGACGACTCTGGTTTTGATAATAACCTCCTCCTGGCTGATTACGTTGATTATGACGGCCATAACCAACCCCAGGAGTTCCTGCGAATCCATTCGGACTGAATGGTGGTGGTGGCATACCAAATGAGGGAGAAGTCAATGGAATACTTCCCATCATATCCACATCTAATCCGCCTCGTCCCACCTTTCGTAAAAACTCCGCACCGAGGCGATCCTCTCGTCCTCTGTGGAAACCATTTCCTCGCGATGGCTCCTCGTTGTCGTTGCGGATCTGATTAATCGGCATCGGGCCTTCGGTGCTAGTGGCCTTGCGCGGTTTCCAATCGTCACGGCGTAATTCAATTACATCACGCAGCATAAATTTAATGCGTAGAGGAAGATCCCTACTCTCTGCCAGAGAGTTCATACGTTTGAAGTATTGATCCATGAGTCCGCGGCCCTTATCCGAGTCAAGGATACGACCGCAGGTACGCATAATCTGGCAGAGGCATTCGATATCCTCCGCCGCGTCCCCCCGGGATCCCCCTCGCCTTTTCTTCTCCAGCAACTGCTGGATGCAACGATGTAGAATCGGCTCCGACACGATGCCCAGCTTGCCGAGCTCCCCGATAAACTTGATGTTACCGAGCATCTTGCGCTTGGCCACCTGTCGGCGCTCCTCTTCCTCGGGACCAAGCTCATCTTGATTCTCAAATGCCTCGCTTGCTTTTGAACGATTTTCGAACTCGTCTTTGCACTTGTTAAGTAAAAGGACTCTGAATGTGCTCTGGCCTTTTTGACTTTCATCGATCGGTTTACGGGGTTCAAAGTTTGCGGCTTCGTCAGACAGCTGTTTGCACAGCCGTGCGTACATAGAACTGTACTTGGGTTCATCAAGCGCTTTTTCGAAGATCTGAAAACAAATTTTTATTGATATATTTTTTTAATCAAAGTCAGCATCAAAGCGTACAACGATAAACGTCTCTACGACGCACCAATACGTACCAAGAAAATAACACCCTTGAGAATCACATGGGAATTAAGCTCAACGTTGAGCAGGTCGTTGCTCAGCTTTGCGAATTTTTCCGGTGTGAGCTTGTTAAGAATACCCCGCACCTTTCTAAAGATGAGATCATTTCGGCTTTCTGGGGTGAGTGCATCGCGTCTAACAGTTGAAGGAGGGATCCAGCGTTGCTCAGTGGATAGGGAGCGAATATCGTCCCTGGAAGGCATCGAATTTTTCTAATGTCAGTGTCAACGCAAGTAGCAACGCAACAGGGACGATTTGCGCACTATTTGTTGTAATAAGTAACTCGTGTTCTCGCGTGTTCTATTGTTTTTTTTGTTTTTGTTTTTTTTTTTTTTTTTTCGTTACTGCCAAGGTAACTTTATGGACCCTGACCTTCCTCCCGAGACACGAGAAGCACCCCCCGGTCCTGTGGGGTTGTCCGTTGTTGCGCGTGTTTTGGCCCCCTTAGTGATAAATCACAGCACACAGATCTTCCTTGAGGAAGCTGCAAAAATTACATTAAATAATTTTAATTAAATAAATTAATTAATTAAATAATTTTAAATATTTCTTCCTCACATTAAATATAAATAATTAATTAAATATAATTATATATAAATATAATTATTAAATAAATAATTAAATAATTAAATATAAATATAAATAAGAATATTAACTAATATATCTAGTATATTACACCCTTTTGTAACAAATAATTACAAAAGAAGTTTCAGAATCCTTATATTATACACTTTTATCTTTTAACAAATTTGCTCGTAAAGCATAAAGATTTCGGCGCCTAGATTAATCTACACTTGAAATACTTAATTTCGAATATAATTTGAAGGCGTACACCTAGCCTTGGTCTATCTTTCTCTGCAATAAAAAAAAATCAACCCATTTCAACCTATCGCTTTTTGTCAGTGGCGACATTCTGTCGCAATGAATTCGTTCAATAATATTTGAGAACATTTCTTTCATCGCGCTGCAGTGACCCACATGATAGGTACATGCACATAAAATGTCATTTTACCATGTGATAGTTGCGCATGCGAGCGCAATTTTAGAGAAGATTGTCTATATCGCGCGCGTTCAATAAGTGACGCACGCATATCCTACGGTTAACGTACTCGAATCAAGTGGTTCAAGGATAGAATCATGATGAGAGACGTTACATTTCGCGAGTCGAATCGTTTTTACGTGAGATACGTTCATGCAGTTATTTCGAATCGCATCCTTTTCTGTCAGAAAAACGAGCCTATCAAAGTGACAGGTCAGATTGGAAGGACCCGATGACCTCGGAAATTTTTCGCCGAAGGAAAAACCGTCGAAATCGGAGCTCGCGGAACGATGAAGTTTTACGGGACACCCTGTACACACCCTTTCGGAAGGCCTTCCGCGGACGAGAGGCAAGGACCTTCTTTCCCGGGGAAGAGACGACGGCTTTGATCTTGCTCGCCGTTCGAGAACAAAACGACCGAAACGACCCACGAACGAGGGGGAACGTCGAAGGGGAGCGTATATGTGGGGCGCGGCTCATGGTCAGACGGTCAATGAACCCTCTTCTCCTGACTCCCCTCCCCTCACCCATTCCACGACCGATCATCTCGCAGACCCCGCTGCTGTTCGGCCGAGGTCGGACGACTTCGTCGGGCTATTCGACGGAGGTCGTGCCCGTCCGGCCGCGTCTACCGGGTGTCCCGAAAATTCGCATCTAGAGAGAACAGTTTGAGAAAATGAATACAAGCAATTGATAACGCTTGATAATTATTGTTTGTACAAACAATAATTATATTTAATGAAAACTGAAAAAAAGTTCTCAAAACGGATATAATCAGAGCAATGATAAATTAATATTCCGAAAAGAGTTGTTCTTTTTCTTTTTTTTCACGATTCGATTAGCGAGTTTTGTTATCGCGAGAAACAATTATGTGCAATAAATTTTTACTCGAGTGCTCGATGTCGTAAGAAAAAAAATTGGCAGCTATGTTTAACGGTAAATACAATAAGAGCGCGCAAGGCTAGGTTCTTCTACTGAAATAGCATTTTCTAAATATTTGATTTCAACTATGTATGTAGCTCTAAATCTGCGCAATGAAAATATCCGGCTTCCCACGGACGTATTCATGAATACAAGCAACGCAAGCTTGAATAATGCGAAAAAGAGAAAGAAGAGAAAGAAGAGAAAGAGAAAAAGAGAGAGAGAGAGAGAGAGGGAGGGGGACGACCGACTAATCGGAGTAATCTCTCAAGGAACATCACCCTAAATAAGAGCGTCGAAGGTTGCGATAAGAAAAGTTGTTTCATATGCGTGTTAACCGAACTTTGCAAAGCCCGAAATGAATGAAGACCGACGTTGCGGTATCACGAACTTGCCACGTGATCTACACAAGGCGATGCTATTCGATATACGGAGTGTCGATTTATTTTTTCCACCATTGAAATCTGAGAGACTGCAAGAAGATTCGCGTCAGTCGTGATGCCTCGAAAATTACCGATGTAACTTTCGAGGTTTCCCTTTTTTAATTAAAATCTTTTTAAAGAGATAACGCGCGCTTGTGTCACGCTTTAAACGCGCAAAAAAGAAACGTAATTAACGGCTCGGACTTGGCGACGATAAACTTGGCGTGGAGAAAAAAAAATTCCACGAGGCAAAACACGCTACAACGATGGATATCGCTACGCGAGGTCGGGATTACACGTGTTGGAATTCGCCGAGAGATAATTATATGAAGAGCCGATGCGTGCGAGCGATGCCGTAGCATTTCGAAGATGGGCAGCACTTCTTTGTCTCTCGTCTTTTCGTACAGGCATTCTGGGCTTTCTTCATTCTTGGCAAATATATTTCCGAGTGTATATTTACAGTCGCCGAGAGAGAGACGGTTCCCGTTATTTAGCTATCCGTTGATCCGAAAAAAGATTTCGCCGCGTATCCTTGGCAATCATCAGATTAACATCGTTTATCTATTTAGTCAAACTTAGTAATGCCTCGCAAAACGTTTCTGCGAGTATCGATAATAATCTAAAATTGAAAAAATCGCGTCGAACGTTAAAGAACTTGTGTCAATTCAGACAGAGATAATAAAAAATATTGAACGAACATACATAAAAGAAGTGAGAAAATAAAAATATATATATTATTAATTAAATTAAAAATACACATTTAACATAGTGTCTCAAATTTTGTAAAAAAATTTCTTAATCTTCCAAGTTTTTTTTGTTTAAAATTTAATGGGAAAATTTTTTTCAGATATTTTTTTTCAGCAATTTTTTATAATAAATTTTAAAATAAATTTTTTTATTATAGAGTTAACGTTTTTTATATTTTTCACTCATGTAAAGAAAAAATAAAGAGCTTAAGTTTCAACTACTAAATTTGAAAATGTATTGAAAAAAGAAAACTAAATAGTTTTCGTAAGAATTATTTATGTATTGCAGATTCTACTTTGTTAAGATATTAAATATGTAAACAGAGAAATAGGTATATATTTATAATATGTTTTAAATGTATAATTCATACACAACTTGGCAATCAATAAATGGCTGATATAATATAAAAGCAAAATTATCAAAGAGAATTTTTTTTTTAATTTCAATAAAATTCTATGAGAATTTCCTGATTTTTTCAAATACAAAAAGATTTTTGAAAATTGCATTTTCCACATTTTTCCTGAGAATAGACAGCCTGAATAATAAAAAATAATTTTAATAAATAATATAATGAACGATAATTTTTAAAGCGAATAATAATCATTCGAGATTATCAATAGCTTTATTTTGGGAAGTTGAATATTAAATTTTTTTAAACTTTTGCAAATTATTAGAATGTAAAAGCACGATCCTCTCCAAATATAATATAAAGAATAATAAAGTAAAAGATAATCTGTTTAAGAGAAACAAGATGCGAGAATACATCTATATATTGCACTTTAGAATAAGATACTCGGCTCATCATTTCTATGCCATGAATAATCGTCAGGTAATTTCGCAAATGCAAACTTTCGCGTTCCGATCTGTTTGCGCCAGACTTTGGTGAACTAATTTATCCTCTATCGGATATCTATTAATATCGTAAAAAAATCAAATTCGGAATTAATTAAATTCACAATTTGCTTTATCGATGAAAAAAAAAACGAAAAAATATATACGAGTTATATCTTTTAAAGGTCACATGGGCCATTTAAACCTTATCGATATTTTTAACAATATCTTGAAAGTCTAATAAAAAAAATCTTCATTTGTTTTTTAATTTTTGTTATGCATGATTATTTTCTACAGATGTCGAGCAATATATATAAATATTTGTAGATTTTTGTCAAGCACTTTGAGAAAACTAAAACTGCGGCAAAACAGTGTGACCCATATGTGAGGGACAGGCAAAAAAAGAAAAAAATGCAGGGACAGGCAAAAAAAGAAAAAAATGTGACCTACAAGAGGGTTAATACCTGCGAGCGTTCATAAAATCTACAAGACAAAATCTATATTGCATGGATTGTCGATACTATCGGAACATTTTATAGTGTTCTCAATCCATATAAAAAACAATATAATAAATCCTTAATGTACAATAAAATTCTCTCTTTAACTCTCGCATATATATATATATATATATAAAATCGAAGATTAATAAATAAACAGATAAATCAATATCGAAGCTATAACCGTGTGACGCAACTGAATTATAAATTAACGAATACTTATAAATAAATGAATAATAATCGTGATACAAAAAAAACCACACGTACAGACGAAGATGTATAATCATTCGTTCTTTGTTTCGGTGTCTTGTTTTTTCAGACGTCTGGTAAGCTATTGAAAAACGTACATGTATAGTTGACTTCTCAAGAAAGATCAGAAAAACAGAGTTCGTTTGCTGGATTCGTTCGTTGAATTCATTCGTTTTGCGTGCTATCGGCGGTCGATGTGACGCCGAGAGAATCCTTGAGAGACTGAGAGAAAGACAGAGAGAGAGAAATCGTCATGCACACAAGGTGGATGACGATGTCGCACAAAGAGATAGCGATAGAATGACGCAAAACGAACGTACGACGAGCAAGCGAACGAACTTCCACGTTGTCTCCTCCTCTCCTTCCTTCCCCCTGCCCCCTCCCCCTCCCCCGAGCACCCCATAACTTTCTGTTTCCTCACGACACGTCACTGATGCGCCATGACAGCTGCTCGCTGCTAGCTATTAATCATGCGCGAAATTTATAGAAAATCAGCAGCGAATCAATCAAGTGACGAATCAACCGCCTGTGCTTTTCACGGAAGGAATGTTAACGGCAAGCAACAGATGATGCTAAGCTTCTGTCAAAATTATACAAAGGTGACACTGAGAACGAAGAGACGCAAATATAATCGTAAAATAATTAATAAAATAATTTTTTTCAATTTGTCCGCATAAAATAAATGAATGAAAATAAAATTTCTACTTAGTCACTTGACTTATCTTAATATTCCGCAAATTTACACGAAAGATAAATCGAGTAGTGAGTCACTCGCTTA